GCCCTCTAAATACTACCTATGTAATAGGTTACTTCACTATCAACCAACTACTCCAGAACTACAACATCCTCATAACACTCATACTGGATAGGGAGGTGAAGTCTGTTCTTCCTACAGCTGGAATTCCTGACATCCACAAATGTGGACCTTTCTCCATCAAGTCTATAATGATAAGTGTTGGAATAAAACCAAGACCAGCATCCAAGACTTGCAATAGTACCACTCTTCTTCTCAGAAGAAGAAATTACATAATGTAGAGGTATACTATAATTTAATTTAAAAGAAAAAAAAAAAAACCACCACCACCACCCCCCCTCAAAAAAAAAACCCAAGACAAAACAACTCCCTGTACCCTGGCATTTGCAACGTAGTAACAAGCTCAGCAGTTTACACTGGGAACAAGATGCCTCTCTCCGTAGGCTGCGATGGCATATTCAGAAATGCATAGTATCAGACTAATACTTCCCTTATCAAAGAGAGTGACAGCACTTAGAAAAATCCCACCTACCGTGTCCTTCCTTAGCCTCACAGGCTCTAAGGAACACAGTTATCTGTGATATCATTTTCTTCCAACAATCTTTTTTTTAAGGGAGCAGTTGATAAAAGCCACATGAGAACACAGTATTATCTGCACGCTACACTGGAAGTCACCTCTGGTACAAGTGGAGGAGAGGAGAATGGTTATTAGAAGACAGTGGTCGCTATTTCCTCAAATGTTGTCACTGCATGGCTATGGCTCCTTTACAACATTTGCTAAGTATCACGCTTTGGAGGCATAGTTTCTGTGAAGAATATCAGATCACGGTGAACTAAAAAGTAGCTTGACATTACAAATTCGGCCCTTGCTACACATGAGTACTGGCATATATGACCTTCAACAATTGTCACAAGCACAGAACAAACACCTCATTATCCTCATTACAGCACTGAAAGCCCCAACTGTTAGTAATTCTATCAATTTGGCAAAAGCCATTTTAACACTCAGGGCAGTGAGGAAGGTAGAGAACTGAAGTCTCAGGCACAAGAATATTATTATTCAGACAAGACTAATCTTATTGCTACAAAATAAAGCTATCATCTCTCAAATGAAGCTAGTTCAGACAGCATTAAAATTCCAAATTAGACCTTGCAGCACATTTGACTAAAGAAGTAAGCAAAGCACAGACCAAAAAGATAAACAAAGGCTTAGCAGGACTAGCAGTAGGTCTAAAATGGAAGTTCCTCAAATCCAGCTCTTACTCTTTTGATTATTTGTGCCATGCATGTGATTTAAAAAAAAAAAAAAAAGGTAGGTCAGGCTCTGAAATTTAGAAAAGCTGCACAATATGAGCCTTGTATTACATCTGAAGTTTCTTCTTTAAGACCTAGTTTGCAGCAGTAAATTAGTGTTGCTGAAATGCAAGATTTCTGTTTGAACAACTTGTGATGTTAAAGTACTGCGGATTCTAGTGTCTTATCTCTTTTAATTACTGACTGGAATGGACTCTGTTGGAGAGGAAGTAAAAGCAGGGGGTTTACATTTTTCATGTTTGCCTCAGGCTACTAGCAGAAAATTCAGGACTTTTTCTAAGGTATGTCAGTACCAACGAAGTGTCACATGTCATTACTCTATAATTAATTAGGCTGATAGCCAAAAAGAATAATGCAGCTGACATTATACTAAAAAAAAAAGTATTCCCCAAGGCATAAAAACACTGACACAAGCATCTTAAAGAGCAGTGTAAAAATGATATAAGGAACTATTTATCTGTGCTGCTGTCTGTTTCATCATAGATTCAAATAAGTAATTCTAAGTTATGTATGCATTGAAAATTTAATTATCCTATAATTATTAAAAAAAATATTTCATCTCTGAAAGCAAAATGCAATGAAACCCTTCTTTGTCTGTGAATAAAAGCTACTATGACAATAACAGGCTGACTACACTATATTACTCTAGATTACAATTTGATAATCCATCTTTCTTCAAGCCTTCCAATAAGTAACTAATCACAAACCAAATAAATTTTTAAAAAGCAGAAAACCAGCATTTTTTTGTGAAGAGTGAGCAAGTTAGTTAAAGCGCAATAATGATGCTATAACAATTCAATCTTAAATACTGAATTTGTAAACACCAGAACTTTATTCTGTATAGAAGTTTCTATAAAATGCTCCCGACAGAATCAGGATTCAGGAAACCCAGGGCTGTAACTTCATGTAGTTTAGAACATACTTAGTTCAGACTGTGTCTGAAAGTTAGACAGACTAGCAGAATTAACAGATTTAAAAATTTGTGGTTTATAGCCAAACTAATGGCCTTCACTCAGCATGGCCAAGTTTTAGTTCTTCATTAACACAGGTATTAAGAGATGTCACATCTATTCCTTGCAGGTACACATATCACAAAGTGTGCGTCATTCCACGTGCTGATGTCCTATAAACTACTGGAAGAAAGCATTCCCACATTTGTGAATTTCAGCAACATTATTCAAAATGTAAGACTTCAAATACAGTTTGCTTCTGAAGCCAGCCAGTAGCACACCTACATTTTTTTTTTCTAACAACTATTAATACTTTTCCAGTTGGCAAAAAAAAAAAAAAAAAAAAAAGTCCTTCACGAAGCTGGCAGATCTAGTTCTTTGTTCACTCTGCACAGTGCTTTTATTTCCAACACAATGACAGACAGAGAAGTATTGTGTTTTCAAATGTATTATGAGGAATCCTGTGATTTAGTTGTTGCTATTAAAGAATTATATTCAGAGATTGTATACTCTGGAGTGAAATGATTTCTACCTAACTATCCACGTCTTATGTTCTAGACACAGAATTTATAACTCATTTGATTACAGTAATATCATACTGCAGAAAAAGGCAGGTGCCTTTTAAAAGTTCTCTATTATTTTGTTCCCTATTCCTTGAATACTGCCAAAAGAAGGACTACTTAGTTTTCTCTCTGTACTCTAATACTAGTACACATAATCTTAAATGATCTTTTGATTCACTATGCTACAAAAATAAGTTACCGCATACAAAAATAAATGTGGCAGGGAATGTAGAAGACCAGCATTCTTTGAAAGTTTAATACTCAGTGCACAACTTGTACTTTAGCAACAAGGGAAGGACCACTGCTACGCTGGAAGACACAAACTGCTATCATCCCTTTGCCACCTATTTACAGAGAACTGAAAAGATGTTTGATGTTTTGATTTGCTGAGCATACACCTGAGGTTCTGCATCCTATCCCTGCTCCCCATTTCCAAATTTCCCTCGCACCACCAGGATTCTCATCATTTGATTCAGCAGTTCCATTTCAATCTGGACACTGCTCGGGGGCAATGTTGAATTTTGGCATGAGGTCACACTAAATATAATGGGTCACAAGCTTGACTGGTTCCTCAGACAAAGTCACCACAGGAGAAGAAAAACAGTTCCTCTGTGTTCCCTCTCTGTGTACCAAATAAGCCGAGAAGAGACTTCTTTCTCAGCGTGGAAGTACATGACAAATATGGAAAGATTCTGTTTAGAAAGACCAAAATCCTATAAAGTAACATATAAGCTTGGTACATTGCTTTTAATATATGCAGCACATTTTCACATATAAATTCATGCATACAATTGCATTTTGAAAGACACTTCTGGTGTTAATGGCAAGGTAACACTGTATTTTTCTAGATGTGAATTCTTACATAGATGGATAACTAAGGTTAAGTTCATTCACTTATGGAAAATGAGCCTGATTTTTCAAAATAGCAAATACAACCAACTAACTGAAATCAGCAACATATTTGAAAATCCAAAGAGGAAAAAAAAGCATGCATCAGGCTTTAATTTGAGACTATTTTTTAACTTCTGGGAAAAGAACTCTTACCACAATTACTGATGATACCTCAGTTCACCTCAAAGACTAAACTAAGTATATATCAGATGCTTTCTATTACAGTTAACTTGCAAAAAGAAAAGTCAATGCCTCTAACGAAGTAAAAATATTGATTTTTTTTCCACCTGATAAAAGCAGCCACAAACAAGTTAGAAAGCACTGTGTTCTAGGAATAAACTAGTTGCATAATTATGTATTTCAGTTTGTGACAGCAAAGTTATTTTTCTCCATTATTATTATAATTTGTTTTGGTTTATTTTTGATAAATGCAATTAATTAAATCTTTATAAAAGAATAAATGTATAATCATATCTCAAAATCCCCGAGCATTTAGTGTCATTAAATGAAAGCATGGTGGCTGAACAAGCCCCACTGCTGGAGTTCAATGTCTGGAAATTTGTATATTGATGCTATTAGAATAACTACATTAGAAATCCTTTCCAGAGAGAATCCCTGGGGTGTATGTGTTTGGTTTTTTTAAGTTGTGGCAATTGCAGATAAGTAGTATCTTTAATGAGTTTTGTCCCTCATATGAAATAAGTTAATGGTTCTGACCTCCCTGCACTCTGAAAATCTTTGCCCAGAGACAGAAATACAAAATGTCATATTTTACAGCTAATATTCAGCTTCAAAATATATGAATTCATTTTACAACCAGATTTTACAAGTAAACACTTGAACTTGTGGCATGTTAATGCCACATCACCACCATCACGTATCATACGTATCAATGCAGAAAGTGGATGAAATATGTCACGTATTTCAAATAGAAAACCAACTGTTTCTGAACATGATGCAAAGCTGACACATGTGTGTCTTTTACCATTTAAAACAACAGATCCAGTCATTTCTCAAAACAGGAGTCACTAGTAGTACCTGGGATATAGATGTACTTTACGCATGCCATTTAAACTGCACTAGGCAGCGTAAACACCAACAGACACAAAACATTCCAAATTAGTGGCAGGTGATCACATTCTGAAATCAGACTGCTTCATTCAACACAAAGCACAGCTGCAACATCTATTCACGAAACTGGAGAGAAACAGCAAAAATAACGGCCTCACTTGCTAGGCAAAAGAGTCCAGGACTTTACCATTTCCCAAAGTCCCTTCCTCAGCTTTTGAAAACCACAAAGGCTTACCTTTCTGTACACCAGCATGTTTGGGGATTCGTCAGCCACCCCGTTGCTGCTTTGCCCGTAATTATTTCCTTGTGCCATGTCCCACAAATCTGATCCGCTTTTGAATGTTGCACTGTAAAAGATAAAAGTGGTTTCGGTAAGAAACTGCCTCAGGTCTCCTTCCTTCCCTGATGATTAACGGACCTGACTTCCTACCAACATTTTATCAGAATTAGTGTATGCTCTTACGCCAACGGATATTTACATTGGAGCAAAGCTGCTAATTCATCGTTTACTGTCATTACTCTCTTTTGCCTGTAAATAATGAATGTAATATGTTAACCTAATTTAGACGTTAATGAATTGTCACTCCGAATAGCTCCCTGACATACCACTAACCACCATATCTTGCAGACGCCTTCTCCCAAAGCACTCCTTCCTCCCCAGCACAGGCTTCACCAAGGGATACCCAACACCTTCCAGGCCACAGTTTTGGGGCACCAACTTGGCCCACGACTGCGTATTCAGCAGTGCCCTCTCCTCGTGGCTTGGGCCATAACAACATTTACGACCCTCAAACACACAGAAAGCAAACCCGAGGCTTTAAACTTCTCTTGAATTCACCAGCCCGTGTGTGCCCTTACACATGTGCCCGGGGAGGGAAGCAGGCAACCAGGGGGAAAGGAAGAACCAAGCCGGAAAACCTGGTGCTTTCACCTACTTTCCTCATACTTCGCCGCAAAACACCGGCTCCACCACCAGCCCCGTCTCCTCCCCGCCCTCCCCCGGGAGCTGCACTAAGCAAGAGCTGGGATCATGCCGTAGCTCCGGCTTTGCACGCAGGTGTAAGAACGCGCTCCATCTACAGACCACACCGGCGGCTGCGGAGAGCTGGGACGGCTGAGCCCTGCTCCA